AATAATTATATTATAAATACACAATTAGCAATAAAACTGTTGTACTAGTTGCTTACCTAGTTTAGCATTTTTGATATCATTTTCTAGCTGGATCTTCAAATTTAATACTAGTATACTTCTGTTTTCTTTTTCGTTTACCTCTATTCCTCTCAAGCTTAGTTCTTTTATCAAATTTCGTTTATTGAGACATGTCGGATTAAGGTCTAATATTTCAAAATCGATTATTATTAGAATAAATAAAATATTTGGTGCATTTTAATAAATAAAAACTTATGTGAAGTATTTGAAATTAGTATTTCCCAGTCAGAACAAGGCGTAGTATGAGTAGAAATCCCCCGGGTTGGGTATATGAATGTCCTTTTTGCATAATTTCTCTAAGTCTGCAGGTGAAAATATCTTCCAATTTCTGATATTAGGGATAGCACGTGTCAAAATACATCTAGCAAACTTTTCTGTAATAGGCTATTGCCACTCGAACCAATTCAAATTACCAGGCAAAAAATTTTTTCCATTACTTGCTGTCATTATATTTAAACATTGATACATAAACAGTAGATATTTTTGAAAATAGAAATGATTTTAATTTTATTTATTACTTGTAAAAAGTTACATCCTTAAAGAATACTCTAAATCATATATATACATTATTGTAGATTTTATATTTAAAACTAACTTCTATCTCGATTCGGTTTTAAATTTGTTACAGAAGTACCACGAATATTTTGAATAGCATTTTCTATATCCTGCCCTTCAGAAATATCAAATCCTAAACGTATATAGCGATTGATAGCATGAGATATCTGAATAAATCGGGTTTGTTAGAAAAGTACTAATTTAATGCAAGAGATTATTTTTATTACCTAAGCATGGTGTGAATCAATTATGTTTTTAGTCTTTCCGGCCTCCAAAAATATCTATTTTTCTACTTGAATTCTATACCATTCTGGCCAATAGCTCATAATTATCATAAGATCTGCATTGTGGTAATGACTACCATTATCTGACATAATAATTACTAACTTTACTTTGTTTTTTAACATCTCCATTACCGCATGAAGAGATGAAGCAATAAACCACAAATCCTGTCACATATCTGCGGACCAGTGATCAAATGCCTGAACTTTTAACTTTGTTGAACTACTATGGATTGTATACACTAACACTGAATGGAGTGTTTATACATTTTTTCTAAACCAATCTTGCTTTGTTTCTCAAGCTAATTTGGGTAATATTTTCATCTTGTAATCTATGAGAATTAGAGCTTTATTCTCATCCAAATCTAGCAAGTTTGTATTAAATTGTCTATTCAGATAGACTTTGCGTGTCTGGTGAGCCATGTAATAACATAGTTAATCTTTTAATTCGGCTAATTCCTTATGCATATCATCTTCAGAATTATCTTTTAATTTAGCAAAAAATTCAAATATGGTATTACATTCATCACAGATACGGAATGAGATTGACAACATTCTCTGAAGGCATACAATAAACAATGATTAATGCAGGTGTTGTGTGATGTTGTTTCTTTAGCCGTGATATGAAAATGTGATTCATATTCACATTTTAAAAATCAGGCTAATTTTTCACAATTTCCTAAAAGCCACGTCTAATAAGTTGATTTATAATGGTAGATAATTAATAATAGTGATACAGTATATTAGTAAGTTATTTATTTAATTTCACAAATTGAGTCTGAAGCTGGATAATGATGCCCGTAACATATACTATTACTACTTAAAACAAATTTAAATCCTTAGAGCTTTAATAAAAAGGATGTATTTGTATATTTAATTCCAGTTACTTTAGTTTTTTTTTTTAATTTCGAATATAAATAAATTTCAGATAATTGAAATAATAATACGAATTTAAGATA